AATGAATCATAGCACTGAACGTCTAAAAAATGTAAAGGGAATTAATTAATTAAGCGGTTCCTCTATTTTAATTATGAATTCTTTATCTCTGCCTTACTGAATAAGAATATATTGTTTCAAGACTTTTGTTTCATTGCATCCCACTATTAAAATTTTCTAACATTTTTACAGAACAGTACACTACTTGTGCAGTAATAAATAGTTGCTTATTATCAGAAAAAGCTTATGATTTGAATTTGTTTTCAGCTAAAGGAATTACCACATGCCTGTTCGATATGCAATTAGATAAAGATCACCACATACACTAGAGAACAGATCTTGGCTGGTGTTGGAACATTTATAACTCATCACAGGCCAGTTGGCTGACCCAGGCACAACTCCTTGATTGTATGCCCCTGAAACTCAAGTAAAGAGAGCTTACTCTGGTCTTGCTTATCAAAACATGAATCCACATTCACACCAGCTTATGAGACTGTAGGGTGTGCTTGTACAACAAAGTTAACAGAAATTTCAAAAACTAAATTTTTTATTTCACTCTTTGATTGGATGCCCTCTTGATATGGATGCCCAGACCTGTTACTCTCTCTGCACCACCCACCACCTTTTACATTCTACTGGATCTGGGTCTTGTAAAGGTAGAGCATAGTAAGTGTTGGGTACTTACTATAGTAGTACAATGAATTGACCATTTTTCCAAGCTCTTTATCAATGGATCTTATATATGAGTTCCACTTGAGGTCCTGGGTGAGCTTAAATCCCAACAGATGTTCAAGGCAAAGGGGCCTCCTTAAGTGAACACCCATTCATTGCAATAGACATAAATTCAGGGGCAGCTTGGTGATGACAGAATATTACAAGTTTGGTTTTTGAGTTATTGAAAGTAATTTCCATTTTTGGGAACCAATCATAACCACTTATCATATGCAGTAGTTAAGAATAAATCTAGAGTATGTTAACATACCTTAGTTATTGTACAGCAGTAGCAGCATACACAATGGATTAAAAGAAAAATGTTGTTCTCTTGTATGAAAATTCTAGTTTACATGCAGAAAGATTAACACAGTAAAAAACCTTGGCACTCAGTTGATCTGTTCCCTCCTATGCACTTATACAATTACTACCTTTTTTGATTAATGCAAAATGTTTTAATGGAGAAAACTTTCTCTAATAAAAATTAGATTTGTTATGATGAGCCTTGTTTGACTCTTGTTTTTGGTTAGTAAAACACATATATATACATCATACCAACATAGTGAGACATTTATACATAGAAGGACTTATTTATCTGAAAGATTTGGTTGTACTAGTTTTGGTAGATATATGAAGTTCTTGTAATGTGGTTGTTTGTAAATGTTTCTGTTTTTGTGTTGTGTTTGGTGTGGTGAATGAATAAATTATTTTCAAGTGATAAGTCTATCATAAAAAGGTAATATTAAACATGAGAAAGAGGTATTTGTGTAAAACTTATCTGTGATTTTCATTTTTAGAGCTACATAATTTCAGGTGTTCTCTTGATGAGAGGTAAATGAAAAAGAGAATGACTTTAAATTTTCCACCAGGTAGGCAGTTTCTTTTTTACTAGGGAATCAAGGGAAATTGGCTTTTTATTTTTTTTTATTTCTCCCAATCACTACAGGTTCAAGTGTTACAAAAACTTATTTCACATCATACTCAAAATGTATGAAAGAGTTTTTTTTTGTCTCTTTTTTTTTTACTTACTGGGTGTGGAAGAATTAGGAACTGAAACATTAATAATGAGTGGGAAGAGAAAAGAGTAATCAGGAGGACAGTAGATAGCAATTGACATTGCATTTAAATTTTTGCAGATTAAAGTTGGCTTGAAAGCATGGAACCGGAAGAGAGCTTCCCAAGAAAGGCAGTAAAGCCACTAAGATACAAGGGGTGTGGAAGACTTAGTAACAGAAACATTAATAATGAGTGGGAGGAGAAAAGTGTAATCAGGAGGAGAGTAGATAGTGACTGACGTTGTATTTAAATATTTGAAGTTTAAAATTGGTTGGAAAGCATGGAGGTAGAAGGGAGTTCTACAAGAAAGGCAGTAAAGCCACTAAGATACAAAGGGGTTACTGGGTGTGGAAGAATTAGGAACAGAAACATTAATAATGAGTGAGAAGAGAAAAGAGTAATCAGGAGGACAGTAGATAGCGATTGACATTGCATTTAAATTATTGAAGATTAAAGTTGGCTTTAAAGCATGAAGCTGGAAGAGAGCTCCACAAGTGAGAAGTGCAAGAAAAGAAACTGTTAGCATAGAATTTATGGCTTCATCTAGCCAGCTCAACTCTAAATTGATGAGATCTTGATGCCAGTCTAGTACTGCGGTTAAATTCAAAAAGTCTAGGTACCATAGGGAGAGCTCATCTGAACACTTGCTATGAAAGTTTTTATAGAAAAGGCACACAGCTGCAACCTTATGGAAGTAGGAAAGTGACTGAAACCAAGTCAGTAGATCAGGACTAATAATATTGCTGATTCTTCTTTGCATCTTATCAAGGAGATCAAGGTAAATAACAGGGGCACCAGACCACATGTGGCTACAATATTTTAAACATGGAGCTGCCTAATAAGTAGCAGATAATGAATATGTGTGATATACAGGGTGATTGAAAAATAACTCCATATCTTATGTATAATGGACTCTCCCATTTAACTATAATTTTTACAAGATGGAGAGTCCATCATACATAAAACAGAGAGTTACTTTTTAATTACCCTGTATAATTTCATCAACAAAAACATTACTTTAGGCTAAAAAATGGAACATATTGCACAAAATTTTTTTCCACTTTGTTATTAATTTGCCTAATAATACTGAATATATAACTGAATAAGATATAATTGTATTTAATTTCTTGAAGAATGAACAAAAACAGAAATTATTTATGACTCAATGACGGATGATTATTTCACAAATGGACGTTATTTCAAAAGTGCAAAATGGCTTAGCATTTATGAACATGGAAAACAAAACCAGCAAAAAATATATCAATTTTTTGTTATCCATTTTGAATTAACAAGTTTGGAAAACCTATTAATATATCTTTCTCAGCTCTTTGCCAACCAGCCTACCTCAAAAGTCATATTTCAATGTTTGATATAAGTGTGTGTGTGTGTGATCAAGCTAGGGATTCTTCCTTGCTGCTGTAACCTAGAGATATCATTCACATGACCTTTGTAAAAGGAGATGATTATCACTGAGTAACCTTTACCTGTCCTTTGAAGGAGAAAAATACAATATGGCTTCTTAACAACATCAAAGTTATCAACCAAACAGACAACATTATTTTATATATATATATATAATTTATTTCATTAAATTGTTTTCATACATTGTAATTTATGCATACAAATAAGCAAATAAATGAAAATCATAGTCAAAATCATACTAAACTTTCACAATCAACAAAAATTGTAACTTTGTGGCTTTATAATAAACTTCAAGCATGTTTTTTTAAAATCATTAATACAATGAAAGCATTTTTTGAATTTTGATTTACATTGAATTATCATTTCCATTTAAACATATTTGGTCAGAAATCAGAAAGGTTTGGGTCAGTTTTTTCATATACAAAATTTGTATATCTTTGAGATTTTAAATAAAATCAGTGATTAATTGCAAAACATAATAAAAGAATGAAAATCAAAGTTTATTTTTTATGTTATGATATCTGATATTTAATGTATTTTTTGATGGAGGTGATGTTAATATCAAAAGATGAAATTCATAAAGTAAATATTCTTTGAAATGTATTCATTAAATTATTTTAATTTTAAAGTAGGTTTTCCAGTTAAAACTTAATTTTGTAATTTTAAGAATCTATTAGTTTTAATAAGTAAATTTTCATAATTTTTTATCTGATAATTTTTTAACTTATTAGTTAAAAATTATCAGATAAAAAATTATGAAATGTATTTAAAAATAATTTTAAAAGTCTGTAGAAATATATTTTACTATTTTCTTTGATAAAAAAAAGAATGACAATTAATAAAATTACTGTGATTTTATATCAATCTCAATTTTAAAAATGTGTCAACTTGCATTGTTTTAAAATATTGTTTGAATTTCTTAGATAAGCATTATTTTTGTGATAAAAAATGAAAGAAAAACTTGACAAAAATTAATTTAAGAATATCAGCTTTCTGACACCTGAAGTTTTCTTCAATGCAAAAGAAGAATAAAGAAATATTATAAATGAACATTAAAGATATTCATGAAAATGGTGCAGATTTTAGTTTTCAGATAGCATAAAAATATAATTATTCTATAAGATTAATTGCATTTGATTGTCTCTTCTGGTTATGTGTTTTTATTTATTCATTTAGTCTACCTATACAAATGTACTCTCATCTCTATTGCAGCAAATTACCAAGTATTATTAACATTACCTTACAAACAATTTATAAAGTTAAATAATAAGAATAAATAATTCAGATAAAGAATAAAATCTTAAACATGGAATCCCTACCTTATGTAATAAAGTTACAAGAAAAGTGAAAACAAAATACTTAACCTAGATAATCTTTCAATACTGTCACTTAATGGGTTATTTTATATTAATGATCTTTGCTGAGATATATTTGTAAGTGACAGATATTTTTCATGGTAGATATCAGTTAAAATATTGATCTATTTATTATTTTTTTTTTCATAACAAAAGTAACAGAGATAGAGAAAACAGGTAAATTAGAAACTTTGATTTAAAAAAATAATAATTTAATTAAAATTAAAAACAGGAGGTAGATGGCCAAGGAGAAAAGGCACAATCTTTTTTTAAAGTTCAATTAAATAAAGATGTCATAAAACAATGATATCATAAAAATAAAGATGTCATAAAACAATGATATCATAAAAATAAAGATGTCATAAAATAAAGAAAATAGGAAAATTGTAAGGCACCAATTGAAAATTTAGAGAAGCAAACTTAAAAATATTTTAAAAAATAGAAAATCTAAATTAAACAATTCATAATTGAAGATCCTTATGTTGTTGTATAGGCAGCAAAATTTATATACATAAGTGCACCATTGATGACATATGTCGTGACACACACAAGACAAAGGTCTTTGAGAACAACAAAAAGAATAAAAGCCAGGTACAAAGAACCAATAACAGAAACACCTGATGCCAGAAGAAGCAGAAGCACTGGTAATGAACCAGGTAACATTCCTGAAAAGAAAGCAAAAATGATAATATAATTAATGTTTAAAGAATAAAAGTCATTATTTTCTACCTGAATTTCTGAAATGAGGAATTATTATAATTCTATCCTGATTTATTCAAATTAATTTCCTCATCTTGGTTGTTATACTAGCAATGTTTACAATCAGTTTACAGTCAAGCATTCTTTAGGTGCCTATCATATTTGGTAAAATTTACAAAATTTTAAACTTAACTCTTTATTCAATATAGGAGTAGATTGTTCACATTCTACTGTCCAAGGTAGGACATATTGCCTATGTTATCATTGTTAACCAGAGTATATGGGTTTCATTGCCTGATCTAGGCAAACAATTATACATTTATCCAATGTTCTTTCCACTTTAAAAATTCTAGTGTAAACCTGAATGATATTTACTTGTTTCTTACAATCAACATAGGAGAACTATAACAATTATGAAAATACAAGCCCAGATCTTTGACGTAATGACACCCACAATGATAATCAGGTATCTTTTATTTCCTGATCAAAGGGTCCCTATATAGCGTTTAATTCTATATTAGCTCTACTGAATATAAAATGAGAACTGTTAACTTCCATGGACTAAATAAAGGGTTTGATTTAACAACTAGGTTGACCAATGGGACACTTCTTCATAGGAGTTTCCGTTGCACATATGTTAAGGGACACATTTATGTTCCTGCAATGTCCATCTAACTGGGTATAATTATCCATTTTTCAGTCTGAAGGATCTTTTACATGCCACTATTACAGTTCAATGCTACAGATCAGTTAGATTCAGCCTTTGACCAAATCCAACATTCTGCTGCCAATGTCTTCACTATTAATAATTAGGTCTCATCACCTGTCCAGTCTGAAGGGTCTTTTTCATGACACCATTGCAATTCAATGTTACAAATCTAATATATTAAATTCTGCCATTGACCAAATCTAACCTCCTACTGCTGATGTCTTCATTCACTATAATCATGGTAGGTGTGGCTTCCAGTTCCTATACTTAGCTAAAAGTCAATCAATGATTTGCTCTAAGAATGTTTCTGCCCTATTTAAACCATAGCTAAGAGAAGAAAATGTATTTGTATCTAAGTGAACTCAAACTAGGCTCTCTGATTTCTCAATCTGGGTTGCTATCCATTACACAACCTGCACATTGTTTGATTTAAAATACTGAGAATGTTACTAAATACTGAGAATGTTATACAAACATCTGAAGGAAGCTAGAGAGTACAATGGCCAAAACATTGTAACAATAGCAATCAACATAAAAATAGCATTTTGAATAAATTTATGCATAAGAGATATGACTAATCTGTACATCTATAAACTATAAATGTTATTAGAATATTTGGGTGCAAGGCTAAATATAGTAATCTTTGAATAAAATGTAGGTTCAATTTCTACTGATATTAAATATTTTATTCATTTCTTTATAAAAAGCCCAGCTCTATTTTTATCAAATGTTGAAGCTAAAAAGTTAGAAACAAAGAGTGTGAGTTCAATACCCAGTTAAGGCAGTGGAGAACTTTCAGAGGGAAATTAACAGGAGATAACTGATAACTGACATCCATTAAACATGGCACATGGAACTAGAACAGTCTACCCCAGAGAGCAAAATAAAGGGTTCAGTTTGACATTCCAACCACCTGAAGAAGGCCAGAGCATACAACGGCCAAAATGTAATAAATATGGCAACAAAGATGAGGATAATAGTCCAAATAATGTATATAATACCTCATCTCAGAAATATAGACAGATACTTAGGAACAATTATTTTATATAAGATATGAAGCCTGTCCAAAAAGTAACAGGACCTGGTGTGCTGTGTGAGCTATGAGCAAAAGAGGCATAAGCAGATTGTGTTATCATTTAATATGATATCTTGGGAGTATATAACTGTAATCTTAGCTTTCTACATAGAATTTTCTTTCACATGTAAGAATTGTGGTAGGAAAAATTGTGGCTGTTTCACTATGAAAATGCTCACAACATGCTGAGAATCTGGCAGTTACTGGTTGACAAGAATATCACTGTGTTGGAACAACGTACCTATTCACCTGATCTTACTCTTTGTAACTTTATCTTTTCCTCAAGCTCAATGGGATCATCAAGGATATCCATTTTGAAAGCATGGAGACTGTCAAGGGTATCCATTTTGAGGGCATGGAAACTGTCAAGGGTATCCATTTTGAAGGCATGGAGACTGTCAAGGGGTCCCATTCAGAAGGCATGGAGACTGTTAAGGGTATCCATTTTGAAGGCATGGAGACTGTTAAGGGTATCCATTTTGAAGGCATGGAGACTGTTAAGGGTATCCATTTTGAAGGCATGGAAACCGTCAAGGGTATCCATTTTTGAAGGCATGGAGTCTGTCAAGGGTATCCATTTTTGAAGGCATGGAGACTGTCAAGGGTAACCATTTTGAAGTCATGGAGACTGTCAAGGGTATCCATTTTGAAGGCATGGAAACCGTCACGAGTATCTATTTTGAAGGCATGGAAAGCGTTAAGGGTATCCATTTTGAAGGCATGGTGACTGTCAAGGGTATCCATTTTGAAGGCATGGTGACTGTCAAGGGTATCCATTTTGAAGGCATGGAGACTGTCAAGGGTATCCATTTTGAAGGCATGGAGACTGTTAAGGGTATCCATTTTGAAGGCATGGAGACTGTCAAGGGTATCCATTTTGAAGGCATGGAGACTGTCAAGGGGTCCCATTCAGAAGGCATGGAGACTGTTAAGGGTATCCATTTTGAAGGCATGGAGACTGTCAAGGGTATCCATTTTGAAGGCATGGAAATCGTCAAGGGTATCCATTTTGAAGGCATGGAGACTGTCAAAGGGTCCCATACAGAAGACATGGAGACAATCAAGGGACCCATTTTGAAGGCATACAAACCATCAAGAAGTTCTATTCTGAAGGTATGGATACTGTCAAGGGGTCCTATTTTGAAGGCATGGAGACCATAAAGAGGTCCCATTCTGAAGGCATGGATACCATCAAGGGGATCCATATTGAATGCATAGAGACAATCAAGGGACCTATTTTGAAGGTATGGAGATCATCAAGAGAGCTGTAATGATGGATCTGAGGGGCATCTAAGGAGAATCCTTCCAGCAGTGCATAGTAGCATGGCAGAAAAGGATAGAAAAGTGCATTAGATTTAAGGGGGATTACTTTGAGGAGGTAATCAGGTAGATTGTTGTGTATCAATGATTCTGAGCCTATAATAATTTACAAGCAAAACTAAAGAAGTAACAAAGAATATTCAGCAAGATCATAGAAGCACAAATATAGATATACAGGCTGATCACACACACACACACACACACACACACACACACACACACACACAGATATCAAAGTTTTAAAATAGTAAAAAAATTTAAAAAATATCTTTACATACCAACAATAATTTGCAAGCTGTAAAATAAAATTCCAAGATTGCAATTTCGTACATTCATGAAATGTTCTTTGCCAAGTAAGAGGCTAACAAAGCCAAATCCACGTCCATATCTGTAGTAGTACCAAATATAGAATAAAATATATATCATATAATATTGTATAATATCAAGCTTTACTTAATTGTCTTTATCAGACATTTGAAGTAAATGTTTATTTTTTATTAGTGAGTTCATTACACTATCAATGGGCACTAACTCTTTAGAATCAATATCTTTTAAAATATGAAACTAAAAGTGTTAGGGATAGTACAAAAATATCCCAAAAGTATTATCAGAGAGTAAGAAACTGGTATCACTAAAATATATTTTTTCTGTAAGGAAAAAATTATATATATATATAAGACATAATTTATATATATATATATATATATATATATATATATATATATATATATATATATATATATATATATATATATATATATATATATATATAATATAATATATATATATATATATATATATATATATATAATTATATATATATATATATATATATATATATATGAATGATATAATTTATATATATATATATATATATATATATATATATATGAATGATATAATTTATATATATATATATATATATATATATATATATGATATAATTTATATATATATATATATATATATATATATATATATATATGATATAATATATATATATATATATAAGATAAAATTTATATATATATATATATATATATATATAAGATAAAATTTATATATATATATATATATAAGATAAAATTTATATATATATATATATATATATAAGATAAAATTTTATATATATATATATATAAGATAAAATTTATATATATATATATATATATATATATAAAGAATAGATAATTATATAAAATAAAAAAACAATAAGTAAAATAAATTAACCCAAATAAATAAACCACTCCCGACAAAATAACTGTCAGAATAGACTACCCACAATGCACAATAGTTGAGAAAAAAACCAACACATGTGGCCTGACAATTGTGTCTAGCATAAAACAGCTTGTTACCTCTGAGTGTTGACTTCAATGTTCATTTTTATATTTACATACACTCTGTCTCTGATATTGAACACTTTATTCCATAAATATAGCACCCCTTAAAACTATATTTCTTTATATATTGTGTGTGTGTGTGTGTGTGTGTGTGTGTGTGTGTGTGTGTGTGTAGTACTTCATGGTAAATGTTCAATATTATTAACAGAGCTAAATGTTCAGTTGTATGGATATTAGTTTGTGACCCTGTGTTTCATGCTTTTGTGATCTTCAGACAAACTGGTTAATTTTTAAATTGGATCTATTTATGCTTATTTGTGTTTGATTATGTTTAATCGAGGGGGATTTTCTTTTGCATTTGTTTGGGATGACATTCTCACAGACATAGACACACATACATATGGGTGTATGCATTTTAATTTACACAAACATACCCATAAACAATATGAGTTTAGGCACAGATCCACATCCAAGCATTTGAGCATACATATATATGCAATTGTCATTCAATTTTGGTGTCGAGACTGTAGCATTTACATATGTAGTGATGTTCTCTCAACAAGGAACAGATGGGGGTGGTCTCAATGCTTTTCAGACTGGCTATTTGCACCATCTGACAAACTTACACTTCCTCACACACATATACACATGTGTAGATGCGTATAAACACTCTCATTGGTCTGGTTCTACCACCACCATATTGGTTAAGTTGGGTTCTGTTTGTGGACATGGTGATGATGATGTTTGTATTTGCAATGCTACTTGCTTGTGTATTATTGATGATTTTGACTATGCTAATAGTAATAATAACTGTGATATTATTATTGAAATATTAATAATAGTTATTGATGTGTTAACAGTAAATTTATCCTTAATGATGATGAAAACGATAATATAATAGTAGCAAAAAAATGTGACAATAATGACAATGGTAATTATGATAATAGTTGTGGTAACCATTATAATGATGATGGTAGTAATAATAATAATAATGGTTTCATTTGTTTTGTTTTGTGGCATCTCAACTTCAATGGGTTATTTAATGCTGACAAAATTTTTATTGCTGGTAATAATTTTTTTTACAAAGTATCTCTGTTATTAAACCTATTTTCATAATATTTTGACCCAAGTTTCAGTGTTAACTATTTGCCCATAGCTGGGACCCTAACAGGTACTACCACCCTGGGTCAGGGTAGACCTGGGACCAGCAACTAAGAAGTGGTTCCATGCTCCTCAAAACCTCCTGTTCAGAAGCATTGCTGTTGGATGTAGTTTATCGCCTTACCCAGGACATGGATGTAGTTTACTGTCATATGCAGGAGGAATAATAATAATAATAATAAAAACAATGACAATGATACAAAGCAGTATTAATGGTGGTAAATATAGTTATGAAGTGATTGCTCCTAAAGTAGTAACAGCAGTACTGATAGTGAAAATAATAGAAGTAATTTTCAGTAGGTACAGAAAGTGGTAGTAATAATACTAATAGCAAAAGTAGTAGTAGTCCTTATAAAATAATAATTTTGAAGTATTAATGGTTTTATCTCCCCTGATAGCTGCATCAACTGTCATGGTGGTGGCTGTGTTTGCAGGAGTGATGGTAACAGTGCTGGTAGTTTTATCAATCTGTGTTAATTGTTATAGTGGTGGTTGTGTTTGTGGGGTGGTGGTAGTGTCAATAATAATGCAGGTAGTGTTAATGATAGGTGTTGGTGGTTATGTTTTGGTGGTGAATGACAATGAATATTTAATATTTTTTTTTATATATATATATATATATATATATATATATATATATATATATATATATTTAAAATTGGGGAGAATCTCTGGCTGATGCCAAATCAGTCAGGTTTGACCAACCGATATGAACAATTGGATGTATAGCTACACAGATAAGCAGTGATACAACAAAACAGTTTGTCGAAGGATGACTATTTATGCTTTCAAAATAATTCAATTGAGCTCTTGGAGAGGAAAGGGAGATTTTATAAACAGTGGCTGCTGCTGCTAATGCAATGCTCTTCAACTAGAATCAAGATCTCCTATCCCCTGATGTCTTTTGTATAGTAAAGACGTTAAAATTTCCCTTGCTCTCTGCCATGCAACGATAGCTTGGGGGGCAGAATCTCTGACTGATGCAAAATTGGTCAGGTTTTGATTCCAGCTAGAAGCAATTAGACTGATGAACTGTGATACAGCAAATCAGTCTGTCTGTGGCTGACACAGACACACACACACACATACATACATACACACACATGTAAAAGAATGAATAATAAAATAGCAACATTCAAAAAATTAATTTAAAACAAGGCTCAATATAAGAGTAGAGCAATAAATATTTATTATGCACTGTTATATTAGAACAAGTCACTACTACAAAATTGAACATTTAAACGGATGTTTAATAAACAACATCTCATCAGGTAGTTAACAATGATGGTAATAAATAATTTAATTTAAAAATGAGAAATTGTAATGAAAACTAAATCAAAGCACTTTGTCGTATTCAATGAAATGTGCATGAAAGAATAAATACATAAATTTTATATATATATATATATATATATATATATATATATATATATATATTTTGTGTATTTAGGCAAAATTCCCTTTCATTCATATATATATATATATATATATATATATATATATATATATATATATATATATATATTAAAACATTGCATTTAAGTGGTAGAATCCCAGACGGACGCCAATTCAACAGGGTTTCAAAATCCTACCTAGAGGCAACTGGATGTCTAGCCACTGATGAGCTGTGATACAGCGAAACAGTCTGTCTGTGGATGACAATATATGCTCCC